ACCTGGAACAGTTGTCTCTTAGCCATGCCATCCTGTTTCAGAACCAGTTGGTTACTGAAACTTCCACAAACTATAAGCAAAAATAAATCATTGCATCCTTAATTTTGGACATTGGGCATTTTGTCTCAGCAATGAGAGAAAAGTAATTAAAACAGAGCATTGTACCAGAGACGAGGTTGCTGCTGTGACTACACCAGACCATGAGGTTCAAGAGTCTTTGGGAATGGCTTATGGGAAGAATTTGAGGGCTCTGAGATGTTTCCTGAAAGAGCAAAGCTGGAACTTGAACTTGTTAACCTGCTCTGTATGGAAAATTCTGGTCAGCGCTCAGAGGACCATATATTGATAAAGACCAGTGTGATGGTTTGTTTCTAGTTGCCCCCGGAGAGCCTCATGCAGTCACTGGGGTGGCTTCTAGAGTTTGTGATTAAATCAGGATCCAATGCAGGGATTATGGGTGTGATTTCTCTTGGAATTATGGGCATGAGTGTTTTCCCCACCCTGAGGCAATTCGCCTGAACACAATATAAGGTAGGGAGAGAGGCTTGCCCACTGCTGCTGCTGCTCTTCCCTATTTGCCGTTTTCTGCCACCATTAACTGCTGCCCTCTGCCATGTGCCAATCTGCCATGGAACCAGTCAATTATATAAACCTTCACAAACTGTGAGCTAAATAAACCTTTCTTTCCTTAAGTCTGGGTAATGAATATTTTGTCCCAGCAATGAGAAAAACATATTGAGACAATCAGGCTCATAAAGTTTTGCTGGAAGGACTTCATTGGCTGCTGGACTCCAGATGATGTGTTTTATGTCTTGGCAGAAAATTTGCTTGCATTTTGTTCATGCTCAGAGACTTTTCCTGAGATTAAGATTAAGGGTAGTGGAATCATTAATCTGGCAGAAGAAATTTCAAGGCATTCTAATATTGAGACAGTGGCATGGCTATTGTTGGGAGCTTTTAGCCAGATTTAGATTGTGAATCAAGGGCAAAGAGTCCAGCAGGATGATCTGAAATGTTGGCAGAAGTCAAGCTCAAAAAAGATGTGTTCTGAAAAGATAGAACAGCCAGGTCTTATTTTTGGAGAAGGAACAGAAGAACATAAAAGATGACCTGATGGTACTAAAACTTCAAAAGTGAACAACTTTGCTTTCAGAAGAAAGTCACAGAACACCATGTTTTAGAATAGTGAAAACATAGAAAATTTGTTCCTGAGAACTGGATTTAGAGTTCCCAATGATCCAGGCTTTTGACCCCTAAAGCCAAGAGACAGGAAAGCTTGAATACTTTTCAAGCTGGCAGCAGACCTTGGCATCATCCACAAGGTGCTGGTAGTAGGTCTTATGCAAAATGTAAGAGTTGCAGTGTTAGGAAGACTTCCATCCAAATTTCAGAAGGCCTGGGAGGTCAGACAGTATACCCCTGAGAGGACAGAGTGTAAAGATATATGAAGGTGAAGACAAAAGTGAAGTAGACTCCCCAGAAATTTGGAAAAGCCAAAAACATGAATCATCTGAGAAAACCAGCATGGGAGGAAAAGAGCAGGCCCCAAAGACAAGCACCAGAAGTGCTGTGCCATAGGGACAGGGCCTCTCAGGCCCTGGGGAGCTCACAGTTTGCCACAGATTGCCTTAGATGCTGCACAGGACTGAATGTTTGCTCTGCTCGAATTTGGATTTGCTTTGCTCCCAATTTACTTTGTACCCTTGTTTATAAGTTTTTGAATGAAAATATTTATCTTGTGCATTGAACATTAGAAGCATTTCACTTTTCATTTGTGCAGAGATGGACAGCTAAGCATTTGCCTTGCATCCCAGAGAACACTTGGGACATGGACATTTTAGCAGTGCTGAACCTGTTGGGACTTGGGCAACTCTTTCAGACGGACTAAATGTCTTTTCCATAAAGGGATCTACATAAGTCTTTGGCTAGCCAAGGGCAAAATGTTACTTCTCTAATGTAATGTAATTTTGGTGGTCTTAATACTGGGTCTGAAGGATTGTTAAACCTATGATCAAGTTGTAAAATGATAAAAATAAGAATGTCTTTGTATCTGGAAACTGGTGTAAAGGAATGTGTCTGTTTGCCAAGTTGACAAAGTGTGGAGTGTAATGGTTGTGTCAACTTGAGAAGTTTAAAAGTTTATGCATGGGACTCAGCAGGGGCCAGGATCCTCACTTTTTAAGCATTCTCAACCTGTGCACGAGGAAGGCGTGGAGAGGGTATGCATGCTCCCTCTGCAGTAGGTGAGCTGGCCTGCTTAGAACATAAGGGAGGAAAAGGAGTTTGCCCTCTTTCTGCTCTTCTTCCTTTTCTGTCTTCTGCTGCCTTGGACTGCTGCCCCTCACCGTGCTACTCGGCTCTGGAGCCCACTGATTATGGACTGACATTTCCACAAACTGTAAGTGAAACAAACCTTTCCTTTCTTAATTTTGAGCATCAGGTATTTTGTCTCAGCAATGTAAGGAAAGTAACTAGGACAGCTATTGACTAAATATTTCATGGTATTGACAAACCTCAGCTATTATTTATTACTGATTAAATGGTTTTGATGTTTCTCTTTAGAATACATGACAAAATAATTGATGCAGTGGCACAGAGATCTCGGTCCACCTTTGCACCTGCCCTCTGGAGAACATTTCTGGTTCTCTGTCCCTATTTGTCCCCACACCTTCTGATCCTCACCCTTTCTGTATCACAATTATTCTTAATTTCATGAATATCATGTGCTGCTTTTTTGTGCTCACCTGGACTTTACTTTGATTGTGTAATGTCCATTTTCCCTGACTGCAGTACCTTCATAATTATTCTTTATTTAGTAAATTTTACTAATTCCTCAAGTTGCTATCAAATAACACTTCATTGTTATTGTTTTTAAAATATATTTTGTGCAGGGTCTGCAGGATCTCACTACTTGGATTGGACTCATAGTGATCCTTCTGTTTTCAGCCTTCCAAGAGTTGGGACTGCAGGCATTGCCACCACGCCCAGTCTCAATGTCTGTCTCAGCATGTCCCAGGGACGGGGCCGGCATGGCATACCCGGGATGAATCCCAGTCCCTGCACCTACCTAAGCAGGTGGTTTAGTCTGCTGAGCTATCTGGTCAGCCCAAATAACACTTTGTTGATGAAAATCTGCTCCCCTAACTTCTATCTTCTCACTCCTACTGTGGCCAAATTAATCATTCTTCTGTTTGTGGTCATCACTCTTCAGCCTCTGACTAGGACTGTGCTCAGACCCCGGAGCTCTTGCTGTCTCCTGCCTCTGGACTTAGAAAGAGCAGAGACGGAGAGAGCCTGCATTGTGCACGTTATGGCATTGTTTCTTACTCATTATCACCTCCTTGTTTCTGTCTTCAAACAGGAATCCTCTTTTCAGTCACAACCATTTTCAAGTGTGGAAAGAAAAGTAATGGGGGATGGTGGGGGAAACTACATGTTCGCGACAACTCAGCGGCATGATCTTTAGGAATGTTCTTATATTGTCAGCTTCAGATAAGATTTCGTTTCTTCCCAAATTCCAGAAAAGTCAGATCTAAGACTAGAATAATGGAAGTGTTCTGTTGGAGCTTTCAGCATCACCACAAAGTCACTGTCATGTACATTCTCTGTGCACTATCTCATTATTTTTAATTCTTAGACTTGGCACTTGAGGGTTCGATGTCTCCTGGGGACATAATGTGGGAAGAAGTCAGAAATCAGACAAAGCACACACCGAGAAGTGAAGATGGTCCTTGTCTTCTTCCTGGCTTCTTCGACCTGTCTGCACCCAACTACCATATCAGAAGGCTTTGAATTTGGGTGCAAATTTTGTTTCTCAATAAAACCATAGAATTCAGGAAATGAATATATTAGTATAAGGACCTTTTCAACTTTCTGTCTTTTCCATTTTCTAGAGCTCTAAAATTGGTCATGCATCTTAGTTCTGTCGATATACTTTTCCTTTTTTGGAGTTAGGCAAACAGTATAATAACTTTATATTCTTTTCAGAACACAAAAATATAGTTGGGTGGGAAGATATGTGAGTAATCCTTTCTGGAGGATATTTATAAGAGAAGTGAGTACTTTTCTTAAAATTTAAATTATAATGTTATTTGGCTGAAATAGATTGTGATTATGATGTCCAACAAGATAGTTGAAGATTCAGGGCCATTTATAACCATAGTATAAAGTAAGAAACAATGAACAAGGACCTTAGGATTTAGTAATTGAATTTGGGATATTAAAACAAAAACAAACATTGAGATGTTACCAGATTGTTGTTTCTTAAAATGCTGATCTGGGCCCTATAAATTATGCATCGTTTCTCTCTCCAAGCCACAGTATGCTACTGCTAATTGGGGAGGGAATCTATACTTCGTCGAGTATTGCTGAAAACTTTAGGTTTAAATGGTGTCACCACTGTAGCATGGGTCAGCGATGAAGGCTCACCCACCATGATTGCTAGGGCTAGGATCGTTCACTTTAGGGTGATGAAAATCACCTCCCAGTTTGAAAACCTAAGTGTACCCTCCACGCACTGAAATCGCTGTCAGAGCTGCTTAAAAGCCTGGTGTCCTTCTTGGTAGACCTGAAGGGACTTTCTGATGTACTGTGTCTATTAATGTCTTCCTGAACCACAAAGTGAGTTATGATCACATTAAACATAGTGGAAGAATAATGCTACTTTTCCTTTCAAATGTGTAATCATCCTTGAAGCCTTTTAAAATGACCCCCACCCCCGCTTTAATAACGAGCAGCTCTGCGGCATTCCGCCTTCTTTTCCCTCATGGTGCCACGCGACAGCCCTATCAGCCTTTCTGCTCTCCTCAGGAAATTAAGCCACAGAGCCTGCACAGCAAACAATAAAACAGCGGCTTTTCACGGAGAGCAAAGGGGGGTGCTCTGCTCGCCTCGGCGCGACGCCCCCGCAGTGCCCGCCACCCCACGGGTGACTGCCCCACTCCCACCCGCACCCCTTCGCGCAGCGGGTCTGTGCGGCGGCGCACTCCTGGGCGCGAGCTGCCCTGCTCCCCGCGCGCTTCCGATGGCACTAGGACCCGGGGACGTCCCGGCGAGGCTCGCGGAAAGGCAGCCAGACTCCTCCTTATCTCCAGTGTCAAACTTGACATCAGCCTGCGCGCGGAGCATGGTAACTTCCCCGGCAGTCGGTCGGAGGCTCCCGCTCACATCGGTGGCACGCTTCCTGGAGACATGCTCCTCTCGCGGCCCTCTGCCCCAGCAACATGGATTGTCACCGCGCGCTCCTCCTCCTGCTCGGCTGCTCTCTGCTCAGCTGCTTCGGGGAACTGACTCTGCAGCCTCCCAACGAAGGTAAGCAGGTACCGCCGAGCCGAGCGCGGGTCCCCGCCGGCCTCCCGCGCCCGCCCGCCCGCCCGCCCGCCCGCCCGCGTCGCCCCGCAGCTTCCCGCGCCCGCCCGCCCGCCCGCGTCGCCCCGCAGCTTCCCGCGCCGAGAGCGAGCCAGAGGCGGCTTGCAGCTTCCGCCGTCTACTAACGCACTTCGGAAGATAATTCTGGATTGTCACGACCTTCGGAGTGTGTTTTTAATCTTACACCAATTCAAGCAATTACGCTGTTTGCCAATTTGAGGCAGAAAGAACGAAAATGCTCCAGTTTTACAACCCAGTATGTTAATTGCCAAATAGCCAAGGCGGTATTTTATTTTCTAATTATGACCATGTGGAACTCTGAGAAGTTTGAAAGCAAACTCAATCCTTTTCTGTGGATTCTGTAGTATGTTTAAAGGTAATGACAGGTTGTTCTACTTAGTATCGTGGCATTTGTGAATGGACGAAAGGAAACTCAGGTTGTTGGAGCAAAGGGGTGTGTGAGTGCTCGCGCGCGGGCACGTGTGTGTGTGTGTGTGTGTGTGTGTGTGTGTGTGCAACTGCCGTGTTGAAGTGATGTACATCCCGCTAGGAGACCGTTTGCTCTGCAGTACAGGTTCTAATGAGCAGCATAAGCCACATTAACATAAGTAATATTTGCAGGAATTTACAATAAGCCTAAATGGGATTCTGTTTAGTAGCTTATATACAAATAGGAGAATATATTTAATCACGAATGAACAATTCCTGGATAGATGTAGTAAATAACTGAAAAGCAAATTAAGACAGAATGTCTGTATGTTTCAAATGCTATTCCCTCGGTGTCGGGTCCCTTTTCCTCGTCCTGGGCTTTCATTCTTGTCCAATGCATTATTGGGCAAGCCTGTATCAAGCACAACACTTTTTCTTATACAGTTGTGTACGAAGAGATAAATCGTTTTTCTCCACATGCCTTCTGCAATCTCTTCTTAATGATTTGAAAATGCAACCAGTAAGTCTTAAGACAAACTTTTCTAAATAATTGAATGCGTTAGAGCAACACTTACAACTTTGATTTCTTGTTAATGATTTTGAACTTACATCAGTTAGCAATGTATTTTACAATATTGAGCAAGTGAAGAACCAACACACTTAGACATAGATCATTCCCCAAAACCAGATATTGTTGAGCCAATCCTATGTTAGACTGTGTACATTACTTTGAAAACACAATTAAAAGCAAGATATTTGTAAGCTATTAAATACTAAGTATAAATTAAACATAAAGTTATTATATTTGATAACCCATTTTCACTACTATTACAGTAGGTTAATTTTATTTTTCCTTTCTCATCACCTTTATCAATGTGGCAAATTTCATTAAATTTCTGTCTGTAACATTAGTAGAGAAATTTGAAAAATTTTGAATATGAGAATGAAAAGCAATCATCTTGCTCTCAAATGATTTTTAATAAACAAATAAAATATTTTTGAAAGTAAGTCATTCATCATAAATAAAACACAAGGGTAATTATTTGTATACCTAACATATCAGTAGTGCAACATGTTTTTTAACAATCTATTTTGTTTTCTGACCCTATTAAAGTATCAACAGTAACTAGAAAATAATATTAAAGCACCCACATTGCCACAATAAATCACATTTTTGTAATAGAGTGTACAAAACTATGTAGATAATGGATATTACTGAATTAATAATGCACAAGAATATAACTGAGAGTCATTGCTTTGTAGAAAATATAACCTTTAAGTCAATTGCAAAAGATGACTCCTTAATCTTATTCACATCAATGTAAAATTAATGAGCATGAATTTAATGCAAGAAGAATGGTCAAGAGTTAATTGCATTTAAGGCTCACCCCGGCATGTCTGTATATAAGTCCACGTCAGGTTTACATTAATAATATGTAATAGGAGGTGAAATATACTCAGAAAACGAATACAGCTACATTTCATTTCTTTGGATAAAAGTTTGTCTATTGTTCATGGGTTTATTCCTTCCTGACTGCATCCTATGGGTGTCTCCTTTCCCTTCTGAACTCAAATGGGAAGCTTAAATGAAATTTTAAATGAATGATTTAAATTAGGTAATCATATGAGTGAGGCATAAATATTAATGCAATAACTTGGCTCATAGTAGTTGAGTTTGCTAATATAAAAATCATAAATTGTGAGAACATATGAAGATTTTATGCAGTTCTTATAACAAAGTAATTTGAACACAAAACAATTCTTCTTAAACCCCACTAATGGGAGTAAATGATAAAATGAATCATATCTATGTAGCATTTTGATACATTTTTTGAAATTTAAAGAAGAAAATATGAATTTCCTTCAAAATTATATTTCAAAACTATAGAAAATTGTCTAGAGATTTACTAGTGAATATTTTCTAAAACATATCTTCAGTCTATTATGATGTCAGGCACAACAGAAATAAAAAAACAAAACCAGGCCATTTTGTTCATTGACAAAAAATATATCATTATGAAATGTTTTCAGTTTTGGATTTGATCATTAATGTCAACATCAAACTACCAATATTTCCTGATAAGAGAAATAACTGAGTTTTCCATTTAGCCATCAAAGTGTAGTGGCTGCGTGACATACTTTGAGGAAAGTGATTTGGAGTGATTATTGGCTTCAAAATAATAAGAGATATTCTTAGTTATAACAATCACTAACAGAAAGAATTGGCCTATCTACTCAAGCAGAACTTTACAAAAACTTTTAAAAATCTAATCAAGTTTCTCTGGTCACATAAAAAAGCCTTCTAATAGAAAATCAACTACTTTTCATCGCAAAATTTGAATGTTTTGCCATCTTTTTGTCAGAAAACATATATTTGCTACCCACCAGACAGATTGTAATAATGGTAAATAGGAAGAACTTTGGGAAGAAGTTAAAGCAATATAAAGCTGAGGTATTGATTCTTATTAGTTTAGTCTCCTAGAATTAGACAAAGTACTCTGTAAACACATCAGTACGTTTCAAGCCATCTGAAGCAAATGCCATGCAGTTAACATTTTTCCATCCCAAAGTGTTCACAAATCAGATTTAACATTTACCCGTAGAACTCATGACTTTGAAAACTGGGGTCTTCAAAATAAAGCTTAATGAAATTAAATCTACATATTCGTATACTACTTAAAGACTTTCTTTTGGAGTGACTGAGACGTTGTTTCTACAAAATGCACTTCCTTGAACATAAATCTTGCAAGTACTAGAGGAGAATATGCGATTAGTTAAAGGTTAAGGTAAAACTTATAGACAAACACTGTATGTTTCTCTTTGAATAGTAGGCAAATGTTAAAAACAATACGTATTTAATGGAGTTTTCCTTTCAAAAATCTCTGAATCAGCATCAATTTTCAAATAAGTATCAAATAAGAGACTATTAAAATTAAAACATTAATAGAGACCTATGCTCTCATCTTTATTGGGCTTTTAAAAATGTTTGCATTTGCTTTCAATAGCACTTTTTCATGTTAGATGAAATAATTGAATGCATTATACATTTGTGTAATTTAATAGTTTTCCTAAAAGCTTGCCCCTCACCCCCCAACACACTTATAACTGTGCTATTTGCCTGCAGGTAGAAGCAACCTTAATTTCACTATTTTATAACCCACAACAGTTAACACTTGACCTAGGTCATTAACAGGATTATCAGCAAATTTGTTTAAGCTTTTACTGACAATTTGAATTGCTATGATAATATTTTGATTGTGCCGAAAAGAAACGTCTTGTAACCTCTCAAAATCTATCACAAAATTAATTTGTTCTGAATTTGTATCTTCCTTAAAGTATTGATAATTATAAATTCAACTGGTGAAATGCTCACTTGGATACCTTGTTCTCATTTTTGCTTCACTTATCACATCATTTTTGTCCTTGTCATTAATGAGCAATTATAAACTTACAAATATTAAATGTTGTACCAATAACTTTAGTTTATACATATAAAAGAGCTTTGCTACAACTAGAAGTATTTCACTTTTATGCGTTTTTCCTTTTATAAAGATCTAAAGTTAGTTTTTCTGCCCACTTTAAGGCAAAAGTCATTTGGATATATGTAATTCACAAGTGACTAGGACTATACGAGGGAAGCTGCATGTGACAATACACCGCTGCATGTGCTATGTCATGCTTATCCTTTATGAAAGTTAATTTTCCCTCACAAAATAGTAGAAATAGGGAACTACCACAATAAGTACTCAAAATCCAGTATGTATACACATTTGAAACAAGATATTGTACACAATCGTAACTTGAAAAAGGCATTTATTAAACATGACATACTGTGTCTGGAACATTGCAATTAAGATTTCTAATTACTTGCATATAATTATGGGTCACTCCTTTCTCATGTAAGCAATTTATTGTCTCTTAATCAATTTTTAAAGATCAGATTTAGTAAGATTCTTTGTCCCTTTTTCTATACTACTTATATTTGAATATTCAAATTTCTTGGTGTTGTTTACTAGTCTAATCATGGTTAATATTTTTTCACAGACATTTTCTCTATCCCTAACTATTAAAATTGTTACATAAACTTGCTAAATTTTCTGAAATAAAATATATGTACTATATAAATATCAAATAATCAGTTACATATGCAGAGGCTTTTCAAAGGCAAAACATACTTTCACAGTATATTTGATTTACTAACTTCAGTGCAAATGGAAACAGTAATAAGTGTTCTTGAAAGTTACATTTTCCAAGTCATAAAATCTTCAAGAAAATATTAATAAAACTTTCCACAAATCATCAAAACTCGATAAGTTTTTACAGACATTTACTTACTAAGAAATCTGTGATGTGGACTACCTTTGATTTGAATCATTTTCCAATGATTTTTTTTGGCAAAATTTGGTATGTAAGAGGGGAACTCTGTATTTCTTGGATGAACACTAAGTTTTACAAGTAATTTTCTGTCAAGATCCTTGACTTTATTTGTAACATACATTTATTTTTTTCCTTAA